GAAAGTCTTTGATAATTACCATGTCATTTTATCTACCCCTTCCTAGCCTAGAAAGTCTGTACGACTATTAACTTCATTTTACAAATACAGGACATGGAGGGAAACTGAAACTCAGAGAGCAAGGTGGCAGAGTTCTAATCTGGAACTAGGATTTGAAGCAGACAGTATGAATCTAAAACCCATTATTATACTACAATATTTAAGTAGTATTCAAAAAGGTTCACTTTAAACACACAGAATAATTTGTTTTCCATTATAAAAATTATTATATCTCTAAAAGATCCAGGGAGTCTGATCTGAAGCCCATGTCTTTTTTTTTTTTTAATATATATTTTTATTGATTTCAGAGAGAAAGGGTGAGGGAAAGAGTGTCAGAAATATCAATGATGAGAGAATCATTGATCAGCTGCCTCCTGCATGCCCCATATTGGGTATCAAGCTGCAACCAGGCATGTGCCCTGACTGGGAATCGAACTCTGACCTCCTGGTTCATAGGTCAATGCTCAACCACTCTGCCACACTGGCTAAGCTGAAGCCCATATCTTAATCATTATGGTATTTGTTGAACAGAATGAATAAGATGCCATGGCTTAGTATACTCTAAGTCTGGATCTATATAAACTACTAACTATTGAATATACTGAAAATATTACTTAAAAAAAAAATCTAACTATAAAGAGTTTTATAAAGATATTCTATAGCCCCAAAAAGTCCAACCAAAAGAGTAACGACAATAGCTGCTACCATTTTAAAATTTTATTTAATCTTTAAATAAAATTGTGAAACAGATATTACCATATAAGTTTTATGGATGAGGAAAAGTGAGACACAACTACAGTAAGAAACTTGTTTAAAGTCTGCCATTCCTTAAGTAGCAGTACTGGTATTCAAACCCATGACTCTATAGCTCTAGCATATTCTCTTAAAATTTGTATTTGGTTTTTTGGTTTTTTTTACATTACAATGTTGTCATCCCTAAGAAACAAGAAGCACTGCCAACGGCCTTTGGGGAACAAGGAAATTCCTACATCAGGTTTTAGCAGAGCTCAAAGCCAAATGAACTGGAGCTGAGCTTTGATGGTAATGAAGGCAATGAGCAGTTTCCCAATCCCTGACTGGATTAAACCAGCTTTGCCCCTTTCTAAAGCAAGTTTTCCTTCTATAAAACTATCCGAGCACTTTTTCTACATTTCTGATGATCTACAGTGGGCACAGTTCAATTAGCTTGGACTACTACCTGTTGAATATAATGCGTAATTCCTCTTCAGGAGTAGGATGGGAGGAAGAATAACAGCTATTCAAGTAATTCCAGCCATGAGGCTGGATGGTACAGGGGTAAAGAGCCTGCACTCTGGAGGAGACTGCCAAGATTCAAATACCTATTCTGCCTTATACTACCTATGGGACCTTGGAAAAAGTATTTAACCTCCCTGGGCTTCCATGCATTCATCTACAAAATGGGGATAATTTACCTTTCACAGGTTTGAGGATTAAAAGATAGAATATATAAAAAGTGTTTAGAATGGTGCCTGGCACTTGGTAGGCAATTTAAAATTTGCTATCAATATAATTATTATCCCTATAGTTATTGCACAGAATAAAATTACACACATTAAATAGTTATTTTAGAGATTCTTTAATATAAAAAAGATATTAGCAGCCCTAGCTGGTTTGGCCTGTGGACTTAAGAGTCCTGGGTTTGATTCCAGTCAAGGGCACATGCCCAGGTTGCGGGCTCGATCCCCAGTGGGGAGCATGCAGGATGCAGCCGATCAATGATTCTCTCTCATCATTGATGTTTCTATCTTTCTCTCCCTCTCCCTTCCTCTCTGAAATCAATAAAAATATATTTTTAAAAAGATATTTGCAAATAGCTGTGTATTTAAAAACATAACCCTGTAAAAATTTGACAAATCTATAGTAGTCTCCTAAAAGTAGCTTTGGAAATTGATTTCTAGCATCTTCTGTAAATAGACAAAAAGGTTTTAAAACCCACTCAGAGATAATCAGAAATAATTCGTAAAAATAAAGCAAATTACTCAATTCCATTAAAGTAGTATTAAATATCTATTATGAGCTCAGCATTATGCAAAGTCTTATAGGGCATACATAAGATCTAGACCCTACTTTATTAAGAACAGAAATAACATATATAGAATAATGAAATAAGGCAAAGTACAAGTAAATGTCAGTGGGTAGCACATAACTCAAAAGGAAGAAATTCTATAGTACCATTAAAATTTATGAGTTTAATCAATAAAAAAATTATCTATGTGCCACTCCTAATGCTAGTGACAAGAACAAGTTCAAAGGACTGATATATTATAAGTTATTAATGAATCACTTAAGCAAAATATATAAAAGGGTTATTGAATAATTTCCACTGTTAACTTACTATTGCTATTTTGGTCGAGAGAAAGTTCTCCCTTTCTTCATCTACCTTAATTTCAATTCCAGTTTTAAATAATTCAAGCATTTTGGGGATGTCACGGCCAATGGAATCTGGTTAGAAAAATAAAATATCCAAAGTTAATCATTCCATCTAAGCAAGTAGCAAAAATTAATGAATAAGAAAAGTATTAATCTCATGGTAAGATATACTAAATAAGTTGTGGCAGAGATACTCCAAGGTGGTCCCAATTCCTGAAGTTTATGCCCTTGTGTAATCCCCTCCCCCTGAGTGTGGATGGGACCTGCAACTTGCTCTAACCAACAGGATGATTATGTGTACATGATTACATTACAAAGAACTGCAATGCCTATCTTAGAGGAGACTTTCCTCCTACTGGCTGAGAAGAAGCAAGCTGCAATGTTATGAGGTGCATATGAAGAAGGCCACAGGGTAAAAAACTGAGACCCTCAGTCCAGCAGCCTGAAAGGAACTGAATTCTGCCAAAAAGTCACATGAACATAGAAGCGAATCCTTCCCCAGTCAAATCTCAGATGAGACCACAGCCCTACTCTACACCTTGACTGAAACCCAAGATCCTGAAGCTGAGATAATAAATGTGTGTTGTTTTAAGCCACTAAATTTATGGTAATATTGCTGCACAGTAATAGGTAACTAATAAAAAAGTATGTGTAATTATGCTACTTACCTACTTT